GAAAAGATTAGGTGAAAAGAAATTGTAATCACCTCAATTCATAATCACTTAACCAGTAAATAGACACTAATGGAATTTAATGTTGTTTAGTTGCTTTGACTATAAGTCTGAAAAGACTCATTTTAGAATCTGCAATGGCATAGGAAATAACTCAAATCCTCATGGAAATATCTACAATCAGCTTCCAAGCAGAACAGTAAACCCAACAAGGCCAGTTTCTCCTGCTCTTTGGCCCAGTGGCTCCCAAGCTTTGTTTCTGCTTCACCGCTGTTCACAAGTGCAGCATATTCCTGTCCATTTCTCCTCTAAACAATCACAGGCCATTGGAATTGGCTTTGGGAAAGACTGGGAGGGAAAAGCGGAGAAATGAGGTGAGAACATAATGGAAACACACTGCTTGCAGGCATATAGCCAGTGCTGCTTTCTGTACCAAGGTACTTCAGAGACACTTTTAGGTACAGTCTCTGCTGAGAACAGTGTTAGTTTCCCTTCTCCACTCCTGAAAACTGTCTTTTCTCCTCTAGATTCCACTCCACTTTTAGGACCTCCAGCCCACTGATCACTGCTGGCTCTACACCCAGTGACAATTAAGTGCTATATGACAACTAGGCCACTACCTCAGGATGTTTCTCAACAGCCATCTCAGTTTGCGAACATCTCTGTTCCAAGTCTGTTGGTCAAGGTACTATGTGGAATTTAAAAATTTTTCCTCAGAAAAATGGCTAGTTTCCCAGATCAGATTACAACACTCTCTTCACTCCAGAGCAGAACTGGAAGAAAAAAAAATGTAATGTTAGCAACATAGAAAGAAAGTAAAACATTCAGTTAGTAACACCATTTGTCAGGTAGACACATAAAGAAAGGAGATGAAGACTTTGAAGATTCAGAAAAGGATCTTCTGGTCCATCCAAGAGTGTATTTTTCCATTCAAAACAATTTCCATCCATCTAAGACTATAACTAACACTACTATAAATGTGATATCCTTGATTTTTTTTTATTCCTCCAAAATCGTAGGAAGACAGTGAAAATGATCATGAAAACTTCCCTTAAGGTAAACAGTCAGATTAGAAGGCAGAGGGAAGAAGAGGATTTGCAGAGACAAGTCCAGTCGGAAAGTGACTTCATTTGACTAACCAACCGACAACTGAGGGAAGAAGAAAAGCAGTGTGGACCCCATTGAACCCTACCGGTTCATTACCTGTGAGAGGAGAAGGCAGGGTGCTGAGAGTTCTGGGGCAGACCTTGGAAACAGCTTGACTTGGCACCTGAAGAAATGGGAGTGGGGAAAAGGCGAGCCTGTGTTAGCTATGTAAGCAAAAACTGTTTGCAAAACAGAGCTTGTTAATTTAGGGACATCCACCCCTCCCCCTCCCTTCATCCCTTCCTTTTTTTCTTTTCTTTTTTTTGAGGAAGGGTCTCCCTTTGTAGTTCAGGCTGGCCCTGAACTCAGTATGTAGCCCAGGCTGGCTTCAAACTCGCAGAGATCCTCCTGTCTCAGCCTCCCACGTGCTGGGATTACAGGCGTGTGCCATCAGGCCCTGGTCATTATTGCCAATGCCTCTGAGATTTGGGGGTGGGGTGTAGAGCATGATCTAATATTTATTTGACCATACCCCTGGCAATACTCATCGCAGTTTTTAAATAGAAAAGGGAACAGTCAGACTTTGTTAATTTTGTGTTACATCGTAGGGCTCTTTCCTCATCTTATTCTGAAGAGTATTTCGTTTTTCCTCTCTAAACAAAATTCCCTGTAAGATGAGAGAAATGATAAAGCTGTGGTGGATTAACTAATGGTCCATTTGGAACACCCAGCTGAACAGAATCAGCCTGGTCTGAGTGTGGGAGACCCACCTGAGGATTGTTGCCAACAGCATAAAAAGGGAACTGGTGAGGAACATCAGGGCGGTTGATTTTCTAGGAGCTTGCTGCAGTTGGTTTTCCTGATGTGAACTTGGCTGTTCTCTTATTGGAGGAGCTCAGGGCCGCCCTGTCGCTGGGAATGGTTGCTATTCTTATTAGGGGAGCTCTGATCTATACTATGAGCATTACTTCCTGGCTGCAATGTAGAGCCCTCAGCCTGGTGGCACAAATCCTTCACCCTACTGGCACAGGTTTTCCGGCTTCCACCACTGGCCTTTGGGCTTTCCGGGTGCAGATCCTCGATACCAACAAGCATGAGACATTGGTGTGGTCTCTAGGACACTGGTTGGACTCATGGAGTACATTGCCTGGACGCTAGGCCTTCAGCTGGACTTATACAGACATTGATGTGGGATCCAGACCCTTGGCTGGATTCTTTGGGTTTCTAGTGTATGGCTAGATCTCTTGCACTCTTCTGCATTTGACTTCTTGGGCGACTATTATAAAATAATCCTATAAATTATGTCTTGTATTAAATCTATTCCCTAGAAAAGCCCGACTACAACAAGAAGGAACAAAGCAGAAGGATCCTGGGTTTTCCTTTAGTTGGTTCAACTTTTTAAAAAAATCTCCCTTTATATTATTTCATCTTTTTGGATTCTTATCCTCTAACAGAACATCTAAATTCTTTAGAGGCACAAGTTATAAAGGCAGATTTTGTAAGCTAGTATAAAGTATTCATATTTGCAAACAGTTGTTAGGAAGGGCAAATACACAGTATTTTAATCTGGGAAATTCACTGTTACTGTCACTTCAGGATTAAAAAATTCTTTGCTATAAATAAAGCTAGTGTATTGTGATATCAAATATGAGGCTCAGTCTGAAATATGAAAGCCATTCTTCAAGATTGGTGTACATAAAATGTCCCATTAAGTGAACATTAAAATGAAAAAATATAGTGAGAATTAAGAATTCAACACTGACTAACTTGACTCAATGGAACAATTTAAAGATAATCATGATTATGATAAAATTAAGGAAATATGAGGCAAGGAACTCTGAATCACTGTACCAAAAAAGGACAAAATCAGACCTTAAACTTGGGACATTGGTCATTTTTCTTATTTCATTTATGTGAGAAATATTTTAATATTAAGCTATTGATATTAAAACAATTTCAGCTAGTACATACCATTAACTATTGATTTAATAGATTTTAAATCTAAAAGTTGGCAGCTATAAATTACTCAAAGGAAATGTTCTAGTAAAATTTTACTTTAAAAAAATACAAATGTATGACCTATTTTCAAAGTTGAGTGGCCTAATTTAAGAAAAATACGTAAAAAATACGTACTTTTCTCTGCCTGATGACAGTAATAAGTATACTTTTTGTCAGAAAACAGATATTTAGTTTGCCCAATTCTGTGTAACATTTCTTTTTTGAGGTACTGGTCATTGAACCCAGAACCTTTGCACTAAGCTACATTCCCTTCCCTTTTTGAGACAGGGTCTTGCAAAGTGGTAAGTCGCCCAGGTGGTGTTTGAACTTGTGAGTAGCTGGGATTACAGACATGTGCCACTGTGGCTGGCTGGAAAAGTTATTGTGCAAAAATCCAAAGTTTCAAGATGTAATATGTGCCAGCCATGGTGGTGCATGCCTATAATCCCAGCACTCAGGAGGCTGAGGCAGGAAGATTGCCTCAAGTTTGAGGCCAGCTTGGGCTACATAGTGAGTTCAAGGCCAGCCAGAACTACAAAGCAAGGCTTTGTCTCAAAAGAAAAAAAAGTAGTATGTACCAATATCCCATGATGAATATATTCATTATGTATCAGAAGTATATACTAATAAAAATATTTTTTAAATAGCAAAGTTATGAAGCCTCAAAGAATAGGACTAATAATGGAGAAGCCAATGGAGCACGATGAGAGAGGTGTTGCTGGGTGTCAGTATCAGCACAGCATATAAGGCTCCAGAATGAGAACATGTGGCTTCTATAGCAATAGTCACGTGTTGCTTAGTGACTCGGGTATGTTGCGAAGGGCTGCACTGGGTGACTCCATAACTGTGTGAACATCATAGAGTATACTTATGCAAATGAAGACAACTAGGCAATATAATGTTACATGACCACTGTCATACAGGCAGCCCATCGTGGACAGAAACGCTGCTGTATGGCACGTGACTATTTTTCTTCAGATTCACTGCTATACCACAGCAGCAGAAACATTTAACAGTCTTGTTTAACTCTTGCTTTCTGTTTACAAGCTTAAAAATTCAATTTTCTCCATAGTCTGTTTTGCTTTTCTTAATATTTATGTTCCAAGAATGTCTTGCATTTTTAATTTTTGTTTATAACCTATAATGTTTCAATGTTTATTGTCTTCCTTTTTACTTTAAAAAAATCATTAGTATAGATTGGAGCTGTGGCACGTGCCTAAAATCTGGCTGAGGCAAAAGGATTGCTTGAGCCCACAAGACCCTGGTCAGGTGGCAACACAGTGAGACTAAGTCCCAAGCCAAACCAGTCATTATTCATATGGCTCTAAACAAAGGGAACTGATTATCCCTGTCGTTCATTATTTTGTATCAGAAAGGTAAATAAAATTTCAACCGGTACCCAAAGGGCATAAAAGTATTAGAAAACTTTTGTGATTATAGAACATTCTTAATAAACACAGTAACTTTCCTAAGTTAGCAAATAAAATGTGCTAGGGAAAGAGGTTAATATGTTGATCACATAAGTATTTTTTACATTTCTAAAATTAAGTATATACTAGCTAGCTTTTATCAAAGCTGAGTACCAAGATTTGTAAAGAAAAAAATAAAATTTAAAGTTTATTTAGCAGGTGTAATAGGCCTTATAATCACATCCTACTAACAGATTAAAATTATAGACATTTTATAACATGAATATTTCTGTTGTTGTTATTAAACACACTAGGCCCTCTCCCAGCAAACTACACTATAATACAAACAGAAAATTCATCTGGTATGAAAGTAGTTTTTCTCTGAGTAAATCTCACTACTCCTCTGGATATTTAACACTCACAGTCACCATATTTATTTTAGAATAAAGAAGGCTCAGCATATGAACTTCAGGATGATAAATAGTTTCTCATTAAAAATGCAAAGACAAATGCTATTCATATACTAGTTTATTTATCTTATTATGTCGGGATAATTTCACAATGACAGTTGTCAATAATCCATCAAAAATACCAGGAAATTCAAAGAACAAAATTTTGCAGAGCTCATGTTTTTGCATTTAATTCTAAGAAGTATATTATCTCATTTTCATATACCCAGCTGAGAGACCATTTAGACTATTTCTTTGCTAATTCTGGCTTACTGCTGAAGGGAAGATGATTTCCAATGCACTTTTAATATCTGATTTGTGGCTATCATTGTTGAAAAAGAGGAGGAAGATGAGGAGGCCAAAAGAAATAGGAGGACAGAGAAAATGCCACATAGATTCAAGAGTTAAAATAACTGACAGTAAAATATATGTTCTTTGGTTAGCAAAGCAAAAAGGGGGAAAACACTGCATACATGATGGATACACACTAGCATTCTAAAGCAGGAGACAAGAATGTCAAGAGTGTATTCTTCCCCCAATGCCAGATGGAAGGGCTATTATTATAAATGAAAGGCAGCAGTAGTGGATGCCAGGCACTTTTGTTGTGTGCCAGATTCTGAAGTCCAGATGTAAGCAGGTTACCCCTGGGACAGGACAGGCTTCAGCTCCCGCAGCAGAACAGAACCAATCACAGTCTTCTCAGTGTTTATGATAAGCTGGGCTGTGGAGCCTTCTTCCTTCAGTTCCACTGTGACTAGCATCAATGACCCACTGTGCACAGTTTTAGCTGCAAACCTGGAAGAAGAAAAAAGACCTTTTTATCATGAGAGGGGGAAAAAAGGAGGCAGCATAAATTCAAATAGTTTTAAAATAACTCTTTTTTTCTCAGGCGAAACAATTTATTGCAGGTTCCCTACTGCCAAACACCCAAAGCCAAACAAACATCCTTCTGAGAAATCAATAAACCGTCCAGCCCATGTTTACCACAGCAAGTAATTTTAGTGCATTTTAAAACCAGAATAGGAAAAGGAAATCTATGTTATTTATTAGCTAGAATGACAAATACACATGGATAATTATCTATTATGATATATTTGGGAAGCATTCATTTGAGGTCATTTAAAATAAGACACTATATTTTTCTTTTTAAAGCACGCTAAGAGCTTGAAATTTTCATTCCTCATATCTGAAAATGATTATGCAAGAAGTTAGATAGTTTTATGTACATTATAATATTCTTACTAATCTCAATTAATTCACTTATGGAAAAATACTATTCAAAATTATCCTCTACTGTTAATAATGACACGAACCAAACCACGTGACAGCCAAGTGCAACCTCCACTTCCCTCCATTTTTTTAAATGTTTAGAACATTAGATCTTTCCTTCTGCTTTGGAATATAATAGAGGAAACTTGAGGTCTAATTCTCTATTACTAAATTCCGAGACATGAAGAACCTACTAATTACATGGAATTAAAAGCAAAACTAGCCTTTTAAGCACTGCAATTGACTGAAAAGCCGTTGGAGGCACAATGAACTTCTGTCAATCCTGCTAATTCGTTCTGCCCGTACAGAGGAGTCCCAGACACACTGGGGACCAGGCTGGGACCTCCCGGGCCTCCATTTTCCACATGGAGCACAGTCCACAGTTTTGGGGGAGGGAGTCTGATTGTAGGCATGACTGGAGAAAAACAAAGTTGCTGCCCATGAGCTTTTGAAAACACTAACAAGTGTAGAGCAGGTCTGTGACCTGCTGTGACCCCACTTTGCGGGGCCAATCCCCTTTCCCCTTTCTGTGTGACACGTGTCTGAATCTGAGCCATCTGCCTCAATTTGTGCAACATCTTCAGCCACAATGGGACCCAGTTAGCCCTGACAACAGCTCACAATACATAAAAATAAAACTGCCGCGCTGACAGCACACTGTGGACGATTCAAGAGCAAACCAACTGGTCAGTGTCTCATGTCTGACAATTAGCATGGGCCTTGCACAGAGCCACGCTGTCCTCAGGGATCTGTTTAATTACCATCAACATAAAAGAGGGAGTTTATCAGAGACACTCAGAAAAACTTCACTCCCAACTTAATTAAAATATTAGCCACTTAAGCAGGAAGCAGATTCTCTTTAAATGAAAAGTAATTTCTTTTTTGAGTTTAAAAAAAAATGACATCAAGATCTTATAACACATTAGTTTCATTTTTTGAAATCTAACAAGGCATTTTTTGGACTAAATAGAATCATGAAAAATCAGTTTTCCAACAATAATTAGAATAATGCATGAAAAGCAAAACAAATATGCTAATCTTACTAAATTGAAAATATTAACACTACAAAGCTATTTTAAAATATTTGCTAATGGGTTGTTGACAAAGTGCATTAGAAACCTTCCTACTCATTTCTTTGCGTACTTTCTTCAAACATACTTAAAACTTGCAAGGAATCTGACAGAACAGTTTTCCTACTGAGAGAGTCAATTGTAAGTTGGGAATATAAAGCATACCGATGTCTGTAAAGAGGTTTTTATAAAGAACTCCCCATACACATCTCCATCTGCTTCTGGACCTACACACATGAGATTAGGAACTGAACCGGGTACCGCGATATCATCTTTGAGAGAACACAATGATTTCCAGTCCCAAATGAATCTCTCTCTTCCATCACTGCTTACAGGTTTATGGATTTCTTTTGTCTAAAATTTTAAGGCTCTTAATTTTTCATAGGAGAATGCTACTTCTACATTTGGTTAAATTATGTCATCAAAGGATACAAGGTAGTATTATATTCCAATTCATTTATGCAACTGTTCCCACAGATTTGGCCATCACATCTGTAATTCATTCAACAAATATTTCAGCAGAGGTCCCTATTTCTGACAGGGTATAATTATGTAAACAATAGTCTTATTAGACCTTTTATTTACTTAACACTTGTGCCTTGGGACCATAGAGAAGATTATAGCTGAATGGGAAAACAAAAGCACTGTTGCTTGAATTTCAGGGGTTGCATAGCCCCAAGGCATATTTTATCTCTTTTCTATTAAAAACTTGCAGTTACTGTTACAATTCTACAAACTTGACAAAGACAAATGTCAGTTTTAGCGGCAGAATGTTTACAGAGATTAATAAACAATGTCTCCTACGTGTTTTTGAAATCTTATTACCACAAAATTCTCAGTGCTATAAAGTACCTGAAAGGGAAGAGTCAGTTGCTTAACCTGCAGAGGAAACATGTTAAGCGAATTATTCAGCAACACACTCTGTTAGCTGGTGTGGAAGCTGCCTTTGCGTGAGGTCTGTGTTCTAGTGGGCACACGTAGGGAAGCACTGCTTTAGAGCAAAAGACAGAAGATCAGACATTCTGACATTCTCATTTCACAGTTCAAAAAGGATGTATTTGATTGGAACATAGCATGATTACAATTGGTTTGTTTTGATCCATAGAAAGCAAAAGCTAATCCCATGAAATTATGAGCTTCTGAACAGCCTATGTTCTAATAGACATTTTATTGATAATTATGGTAAGAATAATAGGTTGTTTTTGAATGTAGGAAACACTGCTTATACACTAAACTTCATAGGTGACAAAGATCCTCCATGCGTGGCCTTGAACTAAGACTGCACAGTGACATAAATTTTTCTGGGGCATGATGTTTTTGATAACAGCTACCATTTATTAAATGCTTACTATGTGTGTGGTGCTGAGTTCTGAGTAGTCCACTCACATTATTTCATTTGACTCTGTGGGCAGGTAGATCCCTACTGAGGGACAAGGCAAGGAGGCCCAGAAGTTGAGGCACTTGCTTAGGGACACAGAGCCAGTGAAGGGTGGGGTATGAATCTGATCTCAGGCATTCTGATTCCAGGTTACACACATGCTCTTGATATGTACAAAAATACTCTTCATACTTATAAGTCAACAAGTAAAGGTTTTCCTTATTTACTTAATATGTATACAATCTAGTATGTTCAGAAAATTTTTCCCTTCAAAAACTGTGTGCTTGGCTTTGTATTCTGTGATTCAAAGCATCTTGACTTGATTCTTTGTCATATTTTTAATTCCTGCCTTTGAAGATTCATATAATTTTAAATATCCTCTACCTTTCAGTCCCAGAAAAGTCACCAGCAATGAAATATATATAACCTTTCTGAATGGAGCTGTAACACAGAAAGGGACGACTTGGAGACCAATCAACCTCGAAAACCAGTTAACACCACAAATAAGAACAAATAAGTGGAATGACAGTTAAAGATGTATTGCCTATGTGCGACGAGGTCCATGTTATTAAAAGGATACCATCAGGATATTTTTCATAATTTTCATTTCATTCTACCACTAAGCATTCGCTGTTTATAATCACCAGCTGAGAAGGTAAAACTGTTTGGATATATCTGTATTTCATCTTATTACATGTCTTTCTATTTTTTCTAGCAAATGACACTTAATCTTTGTTGAATTCTTAACATTGAAGAAAGAAAATCATTTAGTTGTAAGAGGTAAGGAAAAAATGTTTCACTCTTCTTAAAAAGTTATTTTGTCCTATTGTTTGAAGTATTAAACTGGTCAAATAACAACAATGCATTTGAACACATATGTTACCTATAATAGTTTTTAGATTTGTGAGGAACTGGCTACGGACTACAAGTGCTCTTTGTCAGAAGAAAAAGAAGTCCTATAGCTCCTTTGTTCTAACAATTAAAATGTTAACAGTACATTAACTTAAAAATATTTATCTGAGAGACTGCATCCAACCCCCAAGTATTCACAAACATAAAATTTCTTAGACAGAATCAAATATGCTATACTTAATGTAACAGCTCAAAGACATGCTTTTTCTTCTCTTGGATAGTCTTCCTGGTTTCTGGTTTTTCTATTTTGAGTTCAATTTTCTTGTGCTTTCTGTTCTGCTGGTTACCAGAAGCTGTGACAATGGCCCACTCAGGCTAAAACTTTTTTTCCTACTCTGTACATGAAGCCTTCAATTACTGCCTGCTGAAGCAGACAGAATCCTATTAGTAAGAAAGACGATCACAAGATGCAGTGCCCTGCCCTAGCTGTATAAAAATAATTAGTCCAAAGTTGACAAATGTGTAATGAAGTTGCGCAATCATTATATGTTAGAAATACTGGTTTGAATAAGCCCCCTAAACATCAATACAAAGCAGGGTAATTTGGAGCATTATTTTCCAAAGGATTTAAAATTGTAAATCCTCATTACCTTGAGTTAATATAGTAGAATATTTTAAACAGGCAGAGAATTTGTAAGTTGTAAAAATTCTCTTTTGTTAGCTATACAATTGTATTTTAAAGTTAAGCCTATTAAATAAAAAATTTAATGTGATTCTAGAGTTTAAAGAATTTATCCAAGTCATGTATTTTTCCCTATTAAAAAATGCTCAATAATGCTAAGTGCTTTCCTCTAACATTTAGATGAGAACAGTTAACACCAAAAATAAACTACCATCATAATTCAGGACTTGTTAATTTCTACTCTAATCTTTACAGATGGCATAAAAAATTACTTCCCACCTGATCAGGTCAGCAATGCATTTTCTTCTTCATACAGGAAAGCTAAATAATGTAAGTGCACTTGTTCAAAGAGCACATTCATGAAACATTTCAGTGCTTCCAGAACATTTCTAGTTTGTTTAGTGGTGGTAGGGTGAGCTGGGGGTTAACAAGAAGAAACCAAATAGTAAAACAAATAAATTCTTACTCTATTCTCTTTGATTCCTTACAACATTGTTAACCCAGAAGAATATCTTTCTTTCACTTTTACACGAAAACAGTTACA